TCCCTCCACTAAAGACCTAAACTCACTGATTCCAGTTGGGATTAGGACTAGGCTTGCTTTGCAACCCCACGTTACATCCTAATCACATTATTCCTTCTGGGTGCCCAACATTTTTAGTCAGTGAGTGTATTTCCTAACAGGACACGGACTGTACAGCTCACCTACTGCAGCCAAGTTGGATTCTGTTTAGCAAACGAATATTTGGGCATTTTGAAACTAAAGTTTAGTTTTTTCCTTTTTGGTATGCATAACTAAAACTCAAGAACTAATCCACTTTCCGCTTCTGCATTAATCAGCCAGCGTGGGTTCGCAGCCACATAATCACTTATTTTCTCTGGGTTTGTAACAAATTGAAATGTCTCCATTTGCCTGGTACTCTATGGATTTATGAGAACCTCCAAGGCCTTCCTCTCATCTCAAACCTTTCAGCTATCATCATCTGATCCAGTAGGTATCTGATAAGGAGACTTCTTGAGCTGTAATTACAGTAATTATAAGGGGAAAGAGGGAGAGCTGTAACTGTGCCCTTGGTGGTTTTAAACATCATGTCTCAACACTCATTACAGGTAGACATTTTTAGTTGAGCTACATTTATTCAGGAGGGTATAAGATAGATAAAAAATGTTCAAACTGTCATAACAGCCACACGCATTGTAAAGGAGCAGTGTTTTATAATTATCGATACTTCCACTGCTTCTATTTCTGTATCTGTTTTTAATACATGAAATATGAAACATTTTGCATTTTACCATTAATAGTTTACATGAGCACCCTTTTATCTTTTACCATGTCGTAAATCGTAAAAAAAAATAAATCTTTGTGCCTTTTCTGCAGATAAATTCAAATAATAAAAAAAGGAAATCCCATAAAAATTGTAGAAATTAAATGAGCTCAAGGTAAGCGACCTCTATAGAAAAAAACATTGGTAGCACTTTGCAGGTTTCCTCTGCATGCCAGGCAACAGGATGCTGTATTAAGATGAAGTAAGCTCTTTGTATGCCCAACCTTTGCAACCCTGATCACTAATTCCATGCTGTAGTTCTTTTCAGGGCTGGACTGGGACAAAAATTCAGCCCGGGCATTTTGACTGGAGACCGGCCCATCACCTGGTTTTTGTGGAAAAGACATTAAGCCTTACGCTGTTTTTGACACACAGCAACGTGCACTTTCTTGTTGGTAATATTTATGTATCAATCTAATAAATGTAAACCTACACCATCCTTCCTATCCTGGTATTCTAAAAAGTACTTAGTAAAAAGTAAAAAAGACCACTTGATTAAGGTAACACCCCAAACAATCTCCAACACTTGGTAGAAACCTGACATTAAAACAGAGAGAACTATTAATCAATAATGAATGTTAATATAAAAAAAGACATTTATGGAAATTTTCATAAACTGTTTTATCACCACACCAACTAGGAAATATTTAGCCGGAACTCCAAACGCACCTTTGTAAAGTGTCTAACCTGCCAAAGCCTTCACAAACAAGCTTTTGTGTTTGAGTGAGTTCATGTGGGTTTGACTGTGTGCTTGCCTGCCACCTACCTGGCTAACAAAAAGGGCAAGTGCCTACACAAAAGCTCCATCTCACAGGTGCTCTAACAAAATCCTTCAAATAAACTGCTCACAAACGTTCCCACTGGTCCACAGTTTAGCTCTAAATGATGAGATAGTATGCAAACATACCTACTTTATTTTACTTGTTTTTAAATAATCCTAGCCTGTTAAGAACGATGGTTCCACTGTCTGCATCAGCTAGACAAAGAACTCTGATAGGATGACTTATTTACATATTAAATATATTTAACCACAGAAATATGAAAAGCCTGTGTGCCATTTTTGGTTTAACACTTTCCAAATAACATTAGGAAAAATAAAATGCATATGTCTGAAGATGTTTAAATGATCTGAAATAAAACTATAATTGTAATGAAAAAAACACAACAAGCAGCACAGACCTTCAATGGCTGAAAGTTTGAGTCAGTTCAGTACAAAAGCAGAATAAGAAACTCCCCAAACAAAAACATCCAAATGTTCCTTTCTAAACATTTATGTGTGTAGGCATACCACATGCTGTAGAAGCAGCAGTCGTGTAATGCAAGTCTGTTCCATTTAACCGTTTTCTTTGACCAAGGAAGGACAGTGTCCTCGTAGGCAAGGCGCCTTGACTTTGGAACAAAGATAGTCTGGAAGTAGATGGGCGTGACTTAGGCTGTCATTATAACGAGTAGGGAGTCAGAACATGTTGCTGCAACACATTCTCACAAAAACTGAGATTTCACCAAATTGGGGCCTTTACCCTCTTGCAATTTAACCTTCCCCTCACAACCAATCTACTTGCCAATGCAAAACTTTGTTTCTAGTTGTATCGTTCCTCTCAAACACGGTAAACTGGAAATTTAGAACCAGGAACTGGGTTAAGGTTAGGATGGGGGAGGGGGGAGGTTAAATCACTAGTTAGAGATTAAATGTCGATGAAATGTCCGTTTTACCGTGGGCTGTGCCAGTGCATTGCCTCCCCTTCGTCAGTTTTAGCCGCTTCGGGGGTGAGAATGTGTTGCTTACTGTGGTTGCTTTTTACTGCATCAGCATCTGGACGATTCGCTGGAACTGATGGAACCATTAACAACAAATTCTGCAAAGTTGTTTTTTCCTTTCCTAGATCTCTAATAAATTAGGGAGGTGACTGAACAAGAGCGTACACTTACTGATGCTTCACATCTAGCATCACAGCAGAGATGCTGTATATGTAGAACTAATGGCAAAAACAGATCTGTTAAACCTGCTGTCATGAAAAATAATAAAGTCCTAAAATTCCTTTAAAAAAGCATTTTGCACAACCATTCACATTAGAGTAAAGCTAATAGTTTATGTATATAATGTAAATATCTTCATTTAAAAGCTCGTGCAACATCACGCAATACCACTTTGGCAGCCATCTTTAATTTGATTTTCTCCAAAACTGTATCTATTGTTCAGTAGTTCATATGATATTTGCTGGTAGTCAGTGATGACTCCAATAAAACAATGATTGATTAAATAGCTAAATTAGTCAGTTAGTGCTCAGTTTGCATAATCAATGAGGTTTTAAGACTACCACACTAAGTTTGAGCTTAATGTCTGCAAAACTGAGTGAACTGTCATGTTATTTGTGTTTGCTGATGTTGATTAGCTGAGGCAGCCATTCTGAATAAGAATGACTTCAATGCTTTTCTTTTTGGCAGTGTGTGATAAACTAAAATAATAAATTTAGCTGAGGAGATTAGTTTAAGCAGCCTTTTGAAAACTGACCATTTTCTGACATTGTACTTCCGAAGTTGATAAAGGTTTTCCACTTCTTTCCAAATGTCTTCCAGGTGAAGATTATTTGTTGTAATGAAACAAATTTCTGTCATAATAATGAGAGTAACAGTGTCATCTGCAGTCGCTGTGTGACGGAAATAAAACCTCCTGGAAGCAATTATTTCATTTTCCTCTAGAATCCTCTTAGAGGGTTTCTGATGCACACTGCAATGGTGATACCTGCCAAACCACGCTACGCCTCAGCACAGGAAAACCCGTCAGTTTTATCTTTACCCACTGTCCCCCAGTTGTTACAATGTTACCTTATTGACACAAAACGAATCATGTGATTGTTCTCTGGGGGATAACGCGGAGGCAGCACCAACACATACATTTAAATGCCAAGAGGTAATGAGTGTCACCCTGAACAAAGCCTCCTGTGCGGGGTCTCACAGCCCCAGAGTGACGGCTTAATCATTTTCAGCTCGGTCTGCCATAAAAGGCTTCACAGATAATTCGAAAACAGAGGCTGAAAGTAATTTTCATCCTGCTGAAATATCCTGAAGAAATATCTGTATCGCCTGGCTGATGATCACAAAGCAGGTGAAAGACAAAAGCAGAACATCTGCACACAGCACCTGTTTTTTTTAATCCACAACAGCGTACCAAATTTGTATTTGGTGTACTAACTACTTCATAAATCTTTAAATTATAATAAAATCACAATTAGAAATAACAGAAAAAGGCACAGACAGATAACAAAGTGTTATTTCCTTTAACAAAGGTGTAAAGGATGTGCTGATTAGGAAAACTGCTGTGGATTTATTCTGTCAGTGCTGCACTAATTGATTAATCACCTCACTGCTACATAAATCAATGATCTCATTGTAAAGCATCATAGCATTAACTGTCCTCTACATCAACGGGCAGAAAAGCTTCCAAAACTAAACAGAATGAAGCTTTTCTAGGACGTTTCAGCACAAGACACCGGAGAGCTCCCTGTCATCCTCACCAGAAGACCACGAGCCTAAGACACAGATTGACCCATTCATCATAAATGACTGCTGACGAGCCGCTATTTGTGGCTATTCTGTTTTTTCTTTGGCATAAACTCCACATGAACCAGATCCTGACAGGAAAGACTTAAAAGCAGCAGGATGTTGACGTAATGATACACAACAATGTTTCATAAACACATAGTTGAATGCATGCTGCTGAGGCTTAAGCATGACTGGAAACTGCTAATTGATTTTGTTTTTCTCCTTCTAACGAATTGGCTCGCTCTCGCCCGTGCATTATAATTTACATCTCAGAAAATCCAACAAGTGGCCAAGAGAAATGAGGATAAATACGTCATGTCTCAGCAGAGTGCAGACACAGCGCTGTCCAGGAAAACTGTGAAGAAAAAAAAACCACTCAGGACATTCCTGCAAATTCTTCTTATTTTAAAACATTTAAAACATTTTAAGGATTTTTAGCTGAAACTTTAATTAGATGATGATTTTAAATCCACATAAACAACAACAGACTTTCGTGTTGAGTTTGGCGCAGCTGCATCAAGAACAGCATCTTTGCGATGACTAAACAAAGATAAACTCCAGGCTCGGTGCGGTAACTGGTGGTGATGGGTTTACAGATTCACGTCGCTCTAAAATAAAAAGAGTGGGACAGGAGAAAAAAAATACTGGAAATTTAAAAGGGAAAACGCCAACTCACCATAGAGGGATATAATCCAAAGATGATGAGGGAAACGACCGGATACAGGATGCTCAAAGGGACCCGCATCCTGACTGAGCTCCGGGCTGACACTTTCCGCTCCGTTACCGCGGAGCTCCTGTCTCGCCGCGTCTTCTTATGGCTGTGGAACCACAGAGAGAGCGCTCTGACGGCGGCACCGCGGCATCACACCCACCACTCCCCGGAGCACCGTGCGGAGGCAACGAGCAGGGGGGAGGAAAGTTGGAGGGTGGGCGGTGACACAGGTTTACAGCTTTTGCAGGAGGGCATATCTATCTATCTATCTATCTATCTATCTATCTATCTATCTATCTATCTATCTATCTATCTATCTATCTATCTATCTATCTATCTATCTATCTATCTATCTATCTATCTATCTATCTATCTATCTATCTATCTATCTATCCATCCATCTATCTATCCATCTATCTATCTATCTATCTATCTATCTATCTATCTATCTATCTATCTATCTATCTATCTATCTATCTATCTATCTATCTATCTATCTATCTATCTATCTATCTATCTATCTATCTATCTATCATCTATCTATCATCTGTCTGTCTGTCTGTCTGTCTGTCTGTCTGTCTGTCTGTCTGTCTGTCCCAAGTAGATGGCTGTTTTCTCTTTATGGAGATTAATCAGTATTTTTCATTCAGGAAACAAAACCAAAGCTATATATTTAGTCTGCTTTCAAAATGTGACATTTTTCTATAAAAACACAAGGATCTGTTATCAGCGTGGGTGAAACATTCACAAAAACTTGAATTCAAACCACCAATCAGTCCATTGATGTCACTCAGGTATGAGGACCAGATTTACTGATGTGGGTGTCAGTACCCACGCCTCTCATCTTCTCACTTAACACATTTTTTTTCCAGTCTAAGAAGTGTAACGGAACAGAATGTCTGTTATTTTCCCTTCTTTGCTCAAGACTAGTCTGCATGAGCTATGACTACGTTTACATGCATCCAATATCCGGGTTATGATCAGGTTAAGGTCGGTATTCGGGTTTCTGAGTTGATCAGAATAACCCGTTTACAAGCATAAATAGAAAGAGTTACCCCTAATTTGCATAACCCGATTTAAATGTGGATGTTGGGGTAGCGTCAGGACGTATGGACTACGTCCAGACGCAATATGCGTCATTTCCGGTTCTTCTTGTTCCGGTATCTGTGAAAACAACAACACCTTTCCCAGTTCAGAAGAGATAGCGACCGCGTTTGTTTGCGCTTTAGTTTCCTCGTCACTCCAAAAGTGTGGTGCTGTGCTGCGACTCGCCATGTTGCTCCAACTTGTTGTTTACTTCCGGAGTTCTGGCGCATACAAGACGTCTCACTACTCAAAAGACCAAGATTCCTTGCGAACAGAGCATGTGCAGAACACACGCTTTGATGGGGATATCCCGATATGCGTTTACATGACCAAAAATTTGGGTTAGAAAAGGGTTACCCCAGGTGTAGTAACCGGGTTTTTAAAAACCCGGTTATGAGCATATCCTGGTTTTTGGCTGTGTTTACATGGCCGTGCGGAACTGGGTTATTGTGAATATTCGGGTTTTAAAAGGGTTACTGGCTGCATGTAAACGCACTCTATGATCTCAAGGTCACATGCAGTCCGTCTAACCTGCTTATTTTCAGCTCAACAGAAGAATGAAGGATAAACTCTTTTCTTTTGATTGAACAAAGAACTCTATTTTAATAAAGCTAATACATCAAAGTGTTGGTCGGTAAATGGGATGTGACCGATCTGTGCAATCAAAATGTTAATTGCCTTATTATGATCCTATAGAATTTAATAAGTAATATGACTTTAGGTGTTCCAGCAGGACTCATTTCATGTAGTGTTAGAAGACACGGCACATTCAATTCAATTCAATTTTATTTATATAGCGCCAAATCACAACAAGAGTCATCTCAAGGCACTTCACATAATCAGAAAAAAAATGTTTCCTATATAAGGATCCCAGCAAATTGCATCAAGTCACTGACTAGTGTCAGGAAAACAGTGACTTTACAGTAATCCTCATACTAAGCAAGCATATAGCGACAGTGGAGAGGAAAACTCCCTTTAAACAGGAAGAAACCTCCAGAGAATCCTGGCTCAGTATAAGCAGCCATCCTCCACGACTCACTGGGGATCGAGAAGACAGAGCACACACACACACACACACACACACACACACACACACACACACACACACACACACACACACACACACACACACACACATGCACACACACACACACACACACACACACACACACACACACACACACACCAAGCAATGTATCCATGGTTACACCATGATTGCTTAGTAAATATTCTATTTGGCGAGAGATAAACTTTATTGTATTTATCCTAGTGAATCTATTGTTAAACGTGTAAACTAGCAGTAGCACATTCAGTGTCAAGGAAACAAAAAGTTATTATCAGGAGAGGGAGAAAGTTTAAGTAGTTAGCAGCAGTGTGCTAGATGATGGCCCCCTCCATGAGGCCACCACAGCTCAGCAGAACATCACCATAGCTTCCTCTGGGGAGAAAAACACTTAGAGAAAAAAGCTGAAGTAGCAGGAAATAATACAGTTAAAGAGCAGATTGTAGAAGAAAGTAGTAGAGTGTGAAAAGTGGTCAGTGTATCCTCCAGCAGTCTAAGCCTATAGCAGCATAACTACAGATATAACTCTGGATAACCTAGCCTTTTTAGATGGAGGCATGTTGGAGGCAGGACAAAGGGAGAGCCATCTTTACCGACTGTACACTCCACCACCCTCTACTCCCCCACTTGTCCAGATCTACGCTAACATCAGATTTTAACCATAAGCCCTATCAAATAAAATTTTTTGAGCCTATTCCTAAAAGTAGACAAGGTGTCTGCCTCACGGACTAAGACTGGGAGCTGGTTCCACAGGAGAGGAGCCTGATAACTAAAAGATCTGCCTCCCATCCTAATTTTAGATATTCTGGGAACCACCAGTAAACCTGCAGTCTGAGAGCGAAGTGCTCAGTTAGGAACGTATGGAACAATCAGATCACTGATATATGATGGAGCTTGATTATTAAGAGCTTTATATGTGAGAAGAAGGATCTTAAAATCTATTCTGAATTTAACAGGTAGCCAATGTAGGGAAGCTAAGACAGGAGAGATATGATCTCTCTTTTTAATTCTCATCGGAACTCTAGCTGCAGCATTTTGGACAAGCTGAAGATTTTAACTACATTCCGTGGACTTCCTGAGAGTAATGAATTACAGTAATCCAGTCTTGATGTAATAAATGCAGGAATTAGTTTTTCAGCACCACTCCTGGAAAGGATGCTTCTAATCTTAGCAATACTCCGAAGGTGGAAAAAGGAAATCCTACCAACCTGATTAACCTGGGATTTGAATGACGTGTCCTGGTCAAAAATAACACCTAGGTTCCTTACTTTGTTCTCGCAGACTAATTTAATGCCATTCAGGTCAGGTGATTGACTAAGCAATTTCCTTTTCTGGATTTCTGGTCCAAAGATGATGACTTCCATCTTGTCTTGATTTAAAAGCAAAAAGTTTAGAGTCATCCAATTTTTTATGTCCTGAAGACAAGCCTGTAATCTACCTAACTGATTAGGTTCTTCAGGGTTAATGGATAAATATAACTGAGTATTGTCAGCATAACAGTGAAAGTTTATCCCATGCTGTCTAATGATTTTACCAATTGGGAACATATATATAGTAAAAAGAATTGGTCCAAGCACTAACCCTGTGGTACTCCACAAGTAATCCTGGAGTATGAAGAAGACTTATCATGTAAATTTACAAAATGAAATCTATCAGACATTTAGGATTTAAACCAGCCTAGTGCTGTTCTATTTCGTCTAGTCTTAGCCCTTAAGCTAGCTGCTATTGGAAGGATGATCTCCGCATCAGCCAATCATGAAGAGCTTAAATGTACGCCCACCAATAGTGGGCCCCCTCGTGGTATATAACCGGAGTGACCCCACTGCTCAGCTCCTTTTTCTCTTCATGCCAAGCTTGAGAGCTTTATTAAAGAGCAAATATTATCTCAAAAGAGCAAATAATCCGAAGACGACTTACCAGCCATGTCCAGCGACACCAGACCCTGCCCGACCTGCCAGACGGGCTCCATTTCCAGCGGCGACCTGCACGCTAAGTGTGAGGTCTGTCTCGGGGCTCACCACGCTGGCCTGGCCTTGACCCCGCAGGCCTCGTGCCCGTTCTGTGCCGCTCTGCCCGTGGCGGAGAAGATTCGTCGGGTCGAGTACTTCACTCCCGCCGCCGACGAAGAATTTCCGGTGGCTGACTCCTACCCGCTGGACAAGGCTTTGGTTTTCTTCTACGCCGGTCAGGAGCCGGCTTGCTTCAACCGGCTGGATGACATCACTGACAGCGAAAACTACGATGAGGCGGCGTCCCTCCTAGACATAACGGAGGTCGACGATCTTCGCTCAGCGGGTCCTTCTGCCCCGGTGGCTTCTCGCTCCTCCCTGCCAGCAGTAAGAGCACTGCTCCAGGAGCTGCCCGCCATCATTTCTGCGTCAGCAGCCCGCAAGGGGCTAGCTGTGCCAGAACCGGCCCTGCCTGAAGCGGATGATTTGGCGGGAATTTTCGGGGCAACTCAGACACGCTGTCCAGACCCTGTCTGGCCGCGCTTCCCCGCTGCTATGAGCTGCTGGTCTTCCGCCTTCTCCGAGCCTGCCAAGCTCAAGGCGCCAGTCTCCACATATGCGCCCATCACCAAGGTCGAGGGGTTTTCCGACCAAGGCTGGCCGTCCGTTCCTCCACTAGAGCCGGATTTGGCCTCGCTGTTCGGCGCCAAGAACCACCTCGCTGGCCCGCGAGCTGTTCCCGCTTCAAAACATGACCAGCTGCTGACGCGGCTCACCGACCGCGCACATCAGTGTGCCTTTCAGACCGGCGCTGCAGGGAATAACATCGCCCTTCTTGCCTTCGGCGTCTCCAAGATGATGGAGGAGCTGGAAGCTCCCGAGGAGTCGAAAGCCGTCATAACTAAGACTGCTGATGCCATCCTCAATCTGTGTGCTGCTGTGCTCACCGGTTCTGCTCGCATCGCTGCCTGGCAGACCCTCATCCAGCGAGCGATCTGGCTGAAGGCCCTGCCCTCCATTCCGGAACATCTGCAAA